TKYYTWTKSRKCCMYATTTCGGTTAATCATTAGTTCCCTATTTCTATTCATCCCTATTTCTATTCATCCCTATTTCTATTCATCCCTATACAAAAACGATAGATTGCTTTTGGGACCACGGCTTTGTTGTACAATAATTATTATGGTGCTGTGAGCAAATCTTGCCAAAGATATTTTCATTCAATGTATAACACATGCTTTCTCCATTTTTACCTGCTCGAGAACTAATTTTATCGATAAGCAGCTTAGAAATTTGAGTCAAATTTACTGAACAATGTAATCAGCTACAAAGAGGGAAACGAGATTAGACGTGAGAAAACAAGGAGAGCTAGGCCATCGTTGAAGCAATCCCTAGCCCGTGCATATAAAAGTAAATGGACAGACTTAGGATATATGAAAATAAATATACAAAGAAATTATTAAAAATAATAAAAGAATATTATAAATAAATAAATTACAAAAATTAGGATATCATAATTTACGTACCACGTTCTTTCATATTGATTTAACCAGCGATAGCCTCCCGAATCCTCATCGTTCGCCATCTTGATTTTGCCTCTGCAATTGCTAGGGGGCAGCGGTATTTTGGAAGTGGTTTTGTTCTTTGTAGGTAATGTGCGTTGCGCAGAGTGTCCGATTGAGCAAGCCTTATTTGAAAGTTTTGTTTCTAGTCCAAGTCGCCAAAGTTTAGTTCTTCAAAGTCAGCATGAGCCACGTAGCAGGAATCGAAAATTTGATAAATCAGGGGTTGAAAGAGAATATGTTTCTAAACACAGCACAAAGCAGTTTTCAGTTTCTCGAAATACTTATCCTTCAGTTTAATGTAATTATATCTTATTAACCAAGCGCGAGGGTCGTACTTTGAGAATATCGGACCGAGGTCTTGACAGTACGGACCGAGCGCAGCGAGGTCCGTACGAAAAAGAGCGAGGGCCGATATTCTTCCAATACGGTCCCGAGCAAGCTTGGTTAATAAGAGATTTATTATACGACTGAAGTTCAAAGGGACACAAGTGCGGTATCATTCGGGACCATTAGGGACAGTGCCCGGTCCTATACTTAGAAAATATTCGACCGGCAATAGAGCATTTTGATTGGTTGATTTTAGTTATTGGCCCTCTGAATGCCCGAGTCGTGTAATAAATTACTATATTTACTATCCTCTTTCCAGACTCAACCTTCCCGTTCCTCTGATTTAATTCATTTACGTGTGATATTCACATATGGCGGCCGCGGGGATTTTAAACGGGCCATGGCCATGGGGCTATCTTTGGAGGACGATAAAAAATTAATTTCACTAGGTGTGACCCTTTTTTTATTTCAGATCTTTTAATAAGTAAATTTGAAACATTTTAGCCGATATTTGTACAAATAGTGGAGGTTCCCTTTAAAACAGAGAAGGAAAGAAAGAAAAAAAAGAGAGAAAAGAACTAACCAAGAGAGATCGTATGGGAAAGCGTTGTCTAGCAGATTACTTATGACTAGCTGCAAAGTGTTTATCGGGAAAGGTGGTTATCAAATGCAAATGTGTCCCTCAACTGTAATAATCTATCACGGTGGCCAATTATTTAAAATTTGTTAATTAGCTGGTTTTAAAATCAGATACCATTTTTTTGGCTAAACTGGGAAAATTTCTAAGCGTTACTAGCCAGCACGTTCGGCCTATATTAATCCATCATTGTTTGAATAATATCAGTTTGCGATTAAGAAAGCAAAGCACGGCTGATTTGCATGCACATTCCAAGTTTATTCGATAACAACATTCATTACAGTAAAGAGTTGACCTCCTTTGCAATTTTAGCGGTGTAACTTCCCTTGCGTGTGATAAGCCAGCCAGCCAAGCTAAAGATCACGAACATTTAAATCAATCGAGATAATAAGATATCTATTCAATACCAATTGAATCGATTAAATTCGTTATCAGTGCCTAAATATGAAAAAGTAACACCATGATATTAAGTGGATAACTTGTCTTTTTTTAAAAGCGAACTTGCCGACACCAAATATGTCTTTAATTTTTTCTTCCCATATTCGCTGCAAAACACAGCCGCAGTCAACAGACACTTCTGCTGAGCGGACTCGGGCACTAAAGTTGAATTCTTTCACGACTCAAACTCTGTATTAAGCTGGCATCTAATCCATGATATCTTTAGTCCATTTCCTCATTAGCTACCCGCCTTTATACAGCTTACTCAGGAAGGAAGAGGCTCAAAACAAATAACTTAATGAAATGACCTGTGGCATCAGTCAAACTTTTTCAACTGGTTGAGTCTTTAACAGGCTAAAAAGTTGAGCTTTACCATATTGTCATTCCTGAAATATGCATGCAATTAGGTTCTAAATGTTAATTATTTATGTCTGGATTCCGTTTGGAATCCAAGGATGTTGTAAATATGGATAAGTGAGGTGGCCAGCCTTCAGTCTCCTGTAGTTCCTGAACTTAAGCCTTGGACTAACGGCATACTTCAGATAGTAATAGTAGAACCTAACTACTTGCTTTGCCGCAGGATTCTTGAGCTGTCCGTAGTAGTCAAACAACGTGTCATAATGATATATTCCTACATTCATGGCCACCTCGACTTGGGCCTATAGAGAATACAAGAGCTGGTTAGGGGTGAATGGCTGGGAGGAAATCAATGGTGGATTCGGTTTTGTGAGAATTAAATATCTCGCGTGTAAGGCCATCTTAACTTGAAATTAAGCTCTTCAGATAACCAGAATCGCTCTAAAGAGATAACAAACTTTTGTAAAACAACAACAACAACAACAACAACAAATAGAATGTCCTATCTGATTAGTAGCTTTCATTTCTATCTCAGTTAGTAAAAAAAGGAAGTAACGCTCAAAATCTCGAGAAAGGCCTTCATTAGGAGAAGAGGATTTGAAATTTTTGGATATGCCTGCTCTAATTCTTTTCTTTTTGCATTCCTTATTTGAGGAAAATTGTTTTTATTTGTCGTTTAGTCGACCAACCGATTGAGTGACTAATCATGACGCGTGACTATCTGTCAGATTGGCTGTCTAGCGTTCTGACTACTAGACGTATTGGCAGTCAGACAGCCTGTCTCTCTAAGTGATACCGCCTAGACTAATAGCCCTGCTAATAACTGGCCTACAGGTGGAACCCATGCCTAATACATACCGTCCGTAATCATAACGCCCTTAATTTGTGATCAGAACAATGGATCGATCAACTGATTGATTCATTGGCTAGAAATACTTACAAGGGATATGTTGCGATTGGGTAAATTCAACTCAGAGAACACTCCTGGTGGTACACTGGTGTCATTGTATATCTTGGTTGGCAAGACAGGTGTAAACGCTCCATAATCGCTAACGGGATAATTTACCGTAGAATGCTTCACGCTTAGCAACCACAGTAACCTCGTTATTACGTCAATAAGCTCCCTCTTAGTCGTCAACACGGCCGGGAAATCTTTTACCTACCGTACAAAATGACAAAAGAAAAAGATTGATAAACTTCTACCTCTTGAAACAGGAACCAACGCGAAAGAATTTATTTGGGAAGTCTTGCATGCGGATCTTTCGGAAAAATGAGCAAGTTTTGGCTGTTTCGAGCCGCTCATTTTAGGTTTAGCAGGTTTGAGCTTTTATTGGTAGCAAATCAAGAGACTAGATAATCAATACCAGTCTCTTCTAGCGAATGCAAACTTAAACCTTCAGGTTGTGGTCCATTCTTTGTCTTTACGTTACCTGGCCAGATCCACCATTTGGTCCAGTTCCCTCAATAGATAACTCGTTCACATAGGCTTGTAACTCTTCGTCCTCTCGGACATCCCTGTCTCGTTCGTAATAACTAAAAGAAAAATTCATATCATGGAATATTTTTTCAGTATTTATTTTTTTCTATTTTCATGTCATTGAATCTGCAATGTGGCCATTACGTTGCTGCGTCAGTGTCGGCTTGATCTCTGAGAAAGATTGGCCTTACCTCTAACCGAGTTCCTGATTCTGCACGGAGGCAGGTCAATCCTCCTTTCTTTCTTTGAATGTGTTTAAAACAAAAATAGGGTTAACTTTGTTACTTTTTTAGAGAGAATTTCACAGCCTGTGCGTCTTGAGAAATCCCGGTTAAAATTTTTGAAACTTTCAATTTGTTATCCCTGTTTTTTGCTTCCATCTCTAATTCCATACGGTTCTATTTTCATTTGTTCTTCTTTCGCCTATTTTCTGTTTACCGTGACAATATATTTCCCGCAATAATTTCCCACGAATTGACCACAGTATTCATTGACCAAAATAACATTGTAGAATTTCTTGACATAGTTCTTGAAGGTTGGAATGAGTGCTTATTTTGGTAAAGTTGACATTCTGATGATAAATCTACGTCAGTTTAACTAAATGCAAGAGCTTGGCGAGAAATAGTTTTGAAATATGATTTTCTTGCTCGTAGAGGGAAAGGGAATGAGAACGAGAATGAGAACGGACAAGTTAATATCTTATTTGCCTGTTTAAACTTACACCCAAATATAATCCTCCACCATTCTCGAAATTGCCATAAGCAACAATTTGCTGTCATCGCGATACGGAAAATAAGGAAATTTGACTTCGTCATCAAGGCCCCGTTTCTGGAGAGAGAAATGATATATTTTTGTCATTGCTTGAAGATTGCTATAATGAAAAAAAAAAAATTACAAAATTTAATTTAAAATACTACATTGATTCCAACTAAAGTTCACTCATCTGCGGAAATATACGAATTTCAGGCATTCATCTGTAAATACATTTTCCCTTTTTTTTCGGATTTCAAATCCTTGAAGACTGTGAACTTGTTCCTGGAAGTTTCAGCCATTTGAAGGCATATATTTTGTTAATTAACAGTTGACTGTAAGTACAATTTTAAGTCGACAGAATAAACTATTTAACTGAGAAGGAAACTATTTGATTTCAAGCAGCAGTGCGCGCTTGCCGCTTCCCCCAAAAAATTGAAAACAAACTCGCTTGCCGCTTCCCCCAAAAAATTGAAAACAAACTCGGTGATCGAATGATAAAATTAAACAATCATTGAACTCGGTTATCGCAAAATATGGTGATTTGTCAGTGTCTCGCAGATTTGATCTGCTCGCCACGGATAAAGCACGATATTTTGCTCAACCCCGTCCAATAATTGTTAATTATTATCCAAGTACACCTAGACGAGTACAAATAACGCCATAGACGAGTACAAACATCACGCGGTATTTGTACTCGTCTATTGTAGTACCGGTTTAACAGCTTTTCTCGCATCGCGCAAGCGAAGAATTGTCCATTTTTACAGTTGTGTGCTTGGTTGCCAAGCCTTTGAACGGGAGTGAGGCTAGGGATGACCTTGTTATGATACAAACCTTGCTGCCTTTCAAATGTAAATCACTTTGTTATCATGCTAACTAGATACAGGTCTCTCTCACAACAAGGTNCAAATATCACACGATATTTGTGCTCCAGAAATATCCGCGAAATTCGCCCGCACTAAAATAACAATTTGGCGTGTTGGATAATAAATCTCTTATTAGACATTTTGTCGTGTAGTATCGCTGGGTATTTTTACGCGTTGTATGTATTTTCACTCGCCCTACGGGCTCGTCAAAATACGGCACAACTCGTAAAAATACTCAGCGATGCTACACAACAAAACGTCTATTAAGATATATTTATTCATTTATTTTGCTTACAGAAATATCTGAAAAGATCTTGAAATTTGTTCTTGTATGTTCAAGCCAAGACGACACCACCCCTCCTATCGACAGGGTATTAGTTCGATTTTTCTCTTTCTTTTTCCGAAAAGGCAAGGTTCATTTAATTTGCTACCTTTATGTCCCCATGAAAATCTGTGTCTTTCCAACCCAAAGTCTTGTAGCCCCGCTCCAAGAGTAGTATGGTTCCTTTGTGGCCCATGGCAGGCAGAATGTCCATGTAGCCGCCTTCGTTGACCAGCGATGGCGAGCCTAACGTGTTCGTAGCTAAGAGGCCCCTACAGTGATACTTGAGGAGCTCATTCAGCGGGTGCTGAGAGGAAAGGTGACGATGCATGACTACGCAGAAGGGTTCAGCCAAGAGATGGATCTAAGGGTCATTAAAATTCAAGCATGAAGAGGTTGGAATTGTTTTGAAAACTCCGAGAGAAAAATAGTTCTCGCAAGAACCTGCGAGAATTAAAATTAAATTAAAAATTGTTATGATAGTAATTACAATAAATATAACAATAATAATAGTTTAAATGATAATAATAACAACAATAACAATAATGATAATAATGTTAAAATAATATCGATTATGACAATAACAATGACAAAGACAACGACAAAGACACCTTTAGTAGGTGTTCTATCATCTGGCTGTGCGCATAATCTGTTGCCTGGACAACCTGTCTGGCCAACATCCAGGACCCACCATCACCAGGGGCGAAAACGGGCGAATCTGGTATCAAAAATATTAAAATAGAAGAATAAATAAATATATCAATTGTTTTAATCCTTTAAAGAGTTTGTTCAGCAGGTGGAATAGCAACGTCACCGACAACAATTCTTCCCAGGGCTATCCACACCCAGACGATCAGACTACATAAGCGGCTGTTACTTCCGGATTCAATCCATTTTGCTTGTCAACCTCGTTCCCAGGGCCTTTTTCCTTAGCTGGGGGTGGGGCGCCCCCACGCCCCCACCCTCAGCTCCACCCCTAAAGGGAAAAGACCCTGGGAACGAGTTTGAATGCTTGTCAGAACCAAATCATCCACGCGATGAACTAACATCCCATCCAATCATGTGACCGTCAAGCTCCTTTGTGTGCGAATCAAGGGTAAGATTGAGAGGGGATGGCGCCTTTCAGTCTTAAGGAACATTGAAGTGTACCTCCCTCTCCTCCCTCAAAATCGTTGTTTGTCATTTATGGACTGAACTAGATGTAAATTGTACTGTGTCGTTTATCAATTTCAATTTTTATTGACTGCTTTAAGAAAACCTCAAAAACTAGAAGGAAAAGTTATTAACAATATCTTAATTCAGAGGGTTATTAACAATATCCCCAACCTGGCTTGTAATCAGTCTGAATTGCTGCTGCACGTAGCCGTTTTTCCTTGTTCAGGGCAAACAAAGCTATTGGTGACTTCGAAGGCCACATCGTGCGACCCGGTCGTTTCTCAGCATAATCAGGGTGGGTAACCATATCATCAAACACCTCATAGCGAAGAACATATAGATCGCCGTTCTTTATGGCCTGAGAGTAAAGGAAATAAGTCATAAGAATGAATGTGTTTTATACGCCAAATTTACTACCTTTTGATTATCTACCTTTAATCAAATCTAACAAAGACAAGAAAATATAATGGAACATCACGAATAAAGTCTCTCCTCAGGATCAAATTACTCATTAATTTTCCCTCTGTACTTGACCTTTTTTATCTTTAAATACAGTTTAATTAGCTCAGAAATCAAATCCTATGCACTTGAAGACTTTATGAATACTCTCTCACTTCTTAACTTAAAAATTTTTTGTGTACTGTTTTAAGAAGTGTAATGCCCTTTTATTTGATCCACATTGGTCTCGATCTGAAAGACACAAGCTCAAAATATAGCAGACAGACCTGTGCTAGCGTTTCCTCTGTTTCCATCGCGGCCTGTATCGCGTTTTCCCATTCGTAGCTTGGATTGAGTGTTTGGACCAACTCTGACCATCTGAGACCCACATCAGCTAAAAATACAAGAGAATCCAACTTTTTTTTTAACTCCTTATCAACCAGTAAGCATGCGACAGGGGCTTCGGATTGTGGATCAGTGGAAGTAAATGACGCGGTCACAAACTACTAGCTTTAGTATAAAGAAATCGGAGTGCCGAAAGAAAACCCTACTGTAAAATCCTAAGGGAAATTATTTCTGAAAAACAAATTTTGTGATGGCAACTCGGCAAAATCAAGAAATCCTAGAGATAACGATTCCGAGTACTCTTCAAAGAAATGAGTGGTTCTCCACTAAAACAGATAGAAAACTGGCTATCCCTCGACGGGCTACACGATTTTCGTTGGTCCGACTCTTAAAAATTTCACGAAACACTCAGCAAAGCAGGCTAACCTTCAGGTTACCTTAACTCAACAGCACTCTTCACGTTTATGGGGACAAATTAAACCTACATGAATCTTCTGTCACCCTACGAAGTACCATGGGGTTACAGCCACTTAGCCTCTGTTCAGTGAACATATCGTCCTTTCTCCAGTCCTTCAGAATATCCTGAAATGGCTCGACATTAGTGACGAACCGATAGAGTCCAGTACTTCCCTGTAATGAAAAAAGTGGGACGATTAACATTAAGACTATATCCCACTAGGGCAAGCTCTAAGGTATTTGAATATTTAGAATTTGATTTCCTCTCAAATGATGACTTCCGAACAGTTTGTCGAAACGTCAGTCACCACCACAGACAACAGTCCTTCTCAGGACTACACTCACATACACTTTATCTCTCACGTTTTGCATATGCTTCGCCCTGGTTCCGTGTATAATGAAATCATTGTGCCTCAGTACTTCTCAACGAACACTGATGAATAAGCTTGGAGTAAATGCTCTCCATTTTTTTTGTACCACAGGCAGCCTTAATTGATGTGCCGCCTAATATATCAGCCAATAGTCGATCGTCTATCGGCTGATTAACGTTTTACAGTTGACGAATGGCCAACTACCAGCGGGCTATCGACCAACTCTCGATCGACCAATTATTTGCGTGTTATCAAACAATATATATTTATCGAACAGGACTGCTTATTGTGAATTGTTTAAAAAAGATCATTTTTAATACCACGACGTATTGTATAGCGAAATGTTTATTTGGATCACAAGATCTGGGTATCATTTCCTTATCCCAAGTAAGCAGCTTCTTTTACAAACCATTTCTTACTTACATTTTCTCCCAATTCACTTCTAAAATCGTTGAAGATTTTTGCATAATCCTGGAACTCTGTTATCTCCTTAGGATGTTTCTTTTTCCACGTTTTTGAAAAGTCTCTGTTTTTTCTGAGCATACCAGCATACCCATTAAACTGGTCCTTTGCAAACTCGTCTTGTAAAAGTACTTGGATTAGTGTTGATTTGTTCATATTCACTAATGGCATAGGCAAGGGTTTGCGTAATGCCAGTTGATAGATTCCCCTCTGGACTTCCAAGTCTTTTTCGCGAATAGCTCGGCATTTGTCGGTAGATTTCTGGGGAAGACCGATGGGACAATTCAATCCCCCTAAATAGAAAATGTGTAAGAGAGAAAGCATAAGTAATCAGCTTTATTATTTTTTTTCATTTTTGATCACTACTATAACAATCACATTATTACACTCGCCATAAGAAGTTGCGAGTCAAAAGGGGGCTGGGGGGCGAAACTAACAGCCAAAAATAAAACAGATTAGTCTCTTCGTCCGTCAAAATTCATATCTTCGAGAAACATTTGTGCGTGAACGTTGTTCATTCTTTTTATCGTTACCTAATCGCTTTTTAAGTACAAGTGAAAATCGTGTGCTTAATACAATTGGGTTGGTAGATTCCCGCCGAGCTCTTTTTCATGGCCTTCTACTCGCACAACAAAAAGTGTGCCACCATAGAGGAATGCTGCAAATCCCAAGATCTGAGTCAGGAATTCTGTAATCTTCTATGCATTTCCACAGATAATTTCAGTGAAAGCCGATTGACGCATATAAGCCCCCTTGCCACCACTGTTCTGCTTGGATTTCGCCTTACGGCCGCTTTTCTGACACGGCCGACATATCAAACCATCGGTAGCCTCTTGTGGAAAAAATTGTTGAAACTACTAGTTACAAGTATTGGATTTTTATCAAGCTACCTCGCTCCGACTGAAATCGCCTGTCCGTCGGGTAATGAAATAATTTTTTTGGGATAGGTTACGTTTAATCACGTCTATAAGTTGATAGATTAGTGCTGCTATTAACTCTTTATCCTTGAGATTGACCGGCATCTAATTTCTCCTTACACTTAACCCCTGAAACAAGCATTGGAGTCTTGAGAATAAAGAAAATGATCACCAGCTGAGGAAACTTTCGATAGATAAACAAGTTCTCCTTGTCACTTCCATAGGAAGTGTGGAGAATATGTACTGACTGAATCATTTGAAGCCTTTACCTCCAGCTTGCCTTGCTTGTCGTTTTCGTTCGAGATTTTCCTCGACGCTGGTGAAGCAACAGACAAACGAAAAAAAAAAAAAAGATTAGCTTGGAATTATTTGGTATGAAGGGAAAAAAAAAGGATTTTTGGTAGTCTTTCAACTAATATTCCAAGATTGTGTAATTAATTCACTTTACATCTTAAAAAGGCTGTGGTCACTATAGAGATCAGTAAAATGAACTGTAAAAGGAAACATCTGTACTCAACAGCGCTGAAGAAGATTGAAAACACGTGTGGAATTTATTGTCAGTAGAGCCGGAAACTCGACCAACACAAAGATTTTATTCATACTTCACTTCAACACTGATTCAGCGCCACTAAGCACTTTCCTAGTAATCACGAGGCAGAGAGAAATATCATGATGTCATGTCATTTATGTTTAAGCAAGGTAATAATCCGAAAGGATCTGTTCTCTTCCGATCTGAACTCCACAAGCAAAAGAAGTATATTGGAGGGTAAGATTCGAGCGACCCTAGCGCGGTGTATTCATTTGCAAACGCCGGTTTGACCTTCCCCAGGGCTCAGTCAATAACCAGTGAATGCATCATTTCCTTCCCGATCTTTTTCTTAGTCACTTCCTTCCCTTGTCATTCCCTGAATGGGCCTCTGGATCATATTTATTTTTAGGAAACGTCTCAGCGAAGATATTCTTCCCTTGTTTTCTCATCAAACCTCTTTTCGAACGCGGGCGATCTAAAGGCCATATGCCTTGCTCTTAGACCGTATTTAAGTTAACGTTGTGGTACCGCTTACCTTCGTTCTGATGCCAACACTCCGACCACTAGAAAAAAGTTGATTATTTGCAACCGCATGATGAACATCAAAGTGCTCCGATTAGTCTGGAAAGTATACCGTAAGAAGAAAAACGGGTGTATTATTACGAACGACCAGACAACTGTGACGGGGTAAAAACTGAAATGAACCCTAAAATAAACACTGTAAATGCAGCAACTGGTGAGCAGTTGGAGGTCCACAAAGTACTATGGTATAATTAACTGAGGCACTGCCCGCGCTCTGATTGGTCGATAGGTCTGATAGATGAGATGTCTAAACGAGGATATGTGAACACGGAAAAAATTTCCTCTCATCAAATATCGATCACATCAAACGTTATCATACATAACGACTTTTCAACATCGTTTATCGTTTAAGACTGGAGACTCCTGGGGACTGATGAGTTTTACATTCGACCAGAAGTCAGAAAGAATATCAGGCTTAACAAAAATGAGTAGTATATAAATGGTGGAAAATTGCATTCCAGATGTATAACATTTTTACAGAACATATGTCAGACATTTGGCCTTCACCCATGTAAAATGAAGTCCTTTCACGAACATCGTGTCACGGGCTGTCATGCAAATTTTACCCGTCACGCTAGTTTTACCCCGCTACTTGATCAACCAAAATTCCCTCGCACTCCAAAATACTCTGAGGCAGAACAGGGCGATAAACCTTTCTCTTTCTACTTGTTTGTTTCCGTATATCTCATCTTGTAGTGCGTTTGCAGTTGCTAAAGAGGTTTTAATTAAGGTTTTCTAATAATAACATTATTGAATTAGAAGCTCTTATGGTTGGTTGTTTCTGTGTTGGTTGCCCTCCACGGTTTGGAATAGACTCTGACAAAAGATCTTAATTCTTACATCTGGCGAGCGAACTTTTAACTAGCATTTTGTGTTTTACAAATACCGTCCTTAAAAGAGCTGTAAAAATAATATTACTTCGATTCTCACAATAACTTAAAACGTTATCAACATTATAACACAAAGTAAACTTTAACTAAAGGGACTGGCCTGAGCACAAAATGACCAACCATAAATTTTCACATGAGACTTGACAGCTAATACAATTACCTTGTGATGAATTATCTTCGGCGTGTGCTGAAACAAGGGAAATGTTTAGAGGAACTTATGACCACTGGTTCGATTACTACGAATCATTTTTCGCGCTCAAATTGTAAACTTGTCAATAGGGAATATTTTATGGTCTACTTGCCTTTAATTCAATAGCGTTCAATGAAAGGATATCCTTTTGTTGGGCAATAAAAAAAAACCTTTTTGTGCCAAACGCCTGCAAAAGAGGATTTGAAAGCTGCTAAAATGATTATATAGTAGAACTTGGACACGCGAAAATAACCAAAAAATTGATGCAACATCCCATCAACGAAAGGCTTTTTTTTTATTATCAGCATCATTACCATTTTTCTTTTCAATAAAATTATTAATTATTTAATTTCCATCCTTGACTATACTTGAGGATGAGGAATGATTTTTTGAAATAAAAATTTCTATGTTAAGGAAAAGCTAAATAGACGTTGAACATTTGGGAACCTCTTCTTCGATTTCTTTATCGAGAAAATTCTTATTCGTTTACGTATCACACCTAAGATACTTATGTGGCTTTGTAAATAAAATTGTGATATTTGTTTTGCAAATAAATTCTACATTTTCATTCATGTTACATTGACGAATACCACGGCCAAAATATGGTATGCCCGTGGCGTTATCAGCGTAAGTGCACTTTTGGTAATTTCTGGAAAAGTTTTTCATTCAGAACTCAGGGAAGCTCTAAACTGTTTCGCTACCAAATCCGCCAGACTTCATAATTTTCATTCGAAGGAAAGAAGGTGACTAAACTCATACATTTTCCTAAACAATACATAAATTATTGCTCTACCTGGAAAGTATGTCTTATTATTGTCCTCTTTCAGAATGGTATTCTAATTGTCTTCGAATTCATAGGTCAGAGGTGCAGAACTCGTAAAACATAGTAGGTGGAATTTTCCCTCTGTAATCATTGAAATTCGAGAGGGATGATTAAACGGTCGATGACCTAGCTAGCTACCAGCCAGCTAAGTATTATTCAACAGCCAAAGCGGCAACCTTTGGTGATACATGTCGACATCTCGTGCTTTGTTGAAATTTTCAGAAACAAGAAACCTCTCCTCTCCAAATGCTCCAATATTTTTGTCTCAATGCTATATGCGTCTTACAACCGCATGAGCTCTCAAAATTTTGGGGTAAACTCCAAAAGTATCACCTTTTACCATATTTTTCTTTTCTTTTTTTTTAATCAACTGACTGCATGACAATCAAATGGCAATATAAGGAGGAATTTGTTTTTAATCAGTCGCTCAGGGTGAGCAGGGAGGGTGAGCTGTAATTAACTATTTTCTCCATTGGCGGCTTTCCTGCTTCCGTCTTGATATATGTTTACCTTTTTGGTGTTTTTTCTGTCTTACTGAATTAATGTTATGTTTATCATCCTCTCCACGTCGACGAGAGTTTTTTTCAGGTCGCAAAGAATAGAGGACTTAAGTAGTATATTAGTTCGTTTCAATATATCTACAATAGTTGCTATTAAAGATCTATGGTTAGTTGTTCGAGGATGTTACTAAAACTGGTAAAGGGGAGCGGGGAACGGGTGTACAGCGGTAACCCGCCTTGGAATTCAAAATGGCGGAGTAAAGGGAACTAAAAGGATCTGGCAACTAGTTTTGAGCACGTGCTCTTCGAAAGCGATCGTCGGAGCAAAAAGCACGGACGGTAAGTGTAGGTTTTATTGAACGATTTTACTTTGAAATGTTGAGTGCCTCTTAAATTTAGTTTTTGTCTGGCACACATTGCAGGTTGCATAGAAATCAAATCCTCGGAGAGGTGAGTATCTTACAATTCATATTTCATATTTTTTCATATATTTTAGCATGTCTTCAAAGATTTTTTGAGGGCCTTTCGAAGTTTAAATGTTAAATTAAATGTTAGATAACATGTTAAATTAAATGTTATTAAAAGTTCTGTCAATGTTTGATTTCTCTATTGTTTACATGAAAGTTTATGGGTCAAAAGATATGTTCCTGATGTTATTTTGCGGTAAGGTAAGCAGTTATCTGCATGTAGTAATTTTAATAACTAGGCTGGTTATTACGTTTCCTAGCTCATTTCTGTTAATCTAAGATATTACCTCGTTGCTACTTATCTGCAAAAAATGCTGTTGGGCAATGCAAACAACCAACATACCCAAACTCTGCCAAAAGATGCAGATTTCAGGAAGGAAAAACAAAGAGAGACGTCAGAACAAATGGTGGCAGCCATTGCAGAAACGTTGACTTCGAATTCTCGCCTCGGAATGCTAGGCTTCGTGGCTTCGCCTGGGCAATAGTTAAATAAAAGCGAGTCGTCTAATTTCGCTGCAAGCGGCGACCTAGCGATAAAATCAGTGTTTGTAAACATCGTTTACTCCGCCATTTTGAATTCTCAGGTGGGTTACCGCTGTATACCCGTTCCCCCGTTCGCCGTTCGCCGTTCCCCGTTCCCCATTACTAGTTTTAGTAACATCCGTTGTTCGAACTGTTTCCTTTTTTTTTTTCCTTTTTCTTATCGGTTCCTTTAACAGGCAAACCTCTAACATAGTTCTACGTAATACCTACTCTGCTAAAAGGCTTTGAACCGCCTGCAGTGCGCTGTTGTTCTCAGTTGCAGAAAAAGTTACCGGGTGTTAGTAAAACTAGGTCAGATAAGTTCTTGACCAGAAATCATGGAAATCTTTAAACCTTCATGGACGCGCTCTTTACTACAATAAGTGGTTGAATGAGAGTGAATAAACTGCTTATCATTTCGATATCTTCTACTATTTAAACAACTGTCGCATGCTATTTGCTACATACTAATTTCATTAATTAGCAACTACAAGCGATCTTGTGAAAATAACAATAAAGTATCATTTTTATGACCCTCCACAATTTGCCATGAAATCGTTTTCAAGAACTAGGAAGTAAATGATTAAAGGGTCGTCCAGTCTCAGCCAGGTATTACATTTACTTTTTCTTGCAAAACGAGATAAGTAACTAAACAATGCACGGCAATAGCTGTCAAAAATGAAATTGCAAAGGAAACACCAACATTCCACCTGCTTGATCCATTCAAATTATAAAACGTTTTTGTATTCTATTTTCCGATATCCCGTCTTAATTAAACACGTTTTGAAAAATTTACACCGACAAAATAGCTTTTATACCGAAACAATTCAAACCAACATCGTCGTTTGGGAAACTTGATTTGGCATTTTTGACAGATCAATGAAAGACCAAGTAATAAGAAAAAGTGCTTATATTCCTTTAAGAATTGAAAGAGTGAATTTTACTGGACAATCGCTATAAATAGGACCAAATACCAATAATTAAATCTGTAAAAAAGTTGTCATTTATATTGTTTTAATTTTAATTTCAGATGCAATCTTATAGAAGGCTTGAAGTGAAGTATTCAAGATGGAAAAAACAATTGCAAATTGCAATTCTTAAACGCCTGCTGAACGGCCATCATTTTAATATCTGTAGACATGAGCCGGTTTTCAGCTGACATGCCCATTTCTTTAAACCTGAAATAAAGGTTTATCTCGATTTGCTTTTGCGTAACTAAGTAACAGGTCGCCAGCGACACCTCGCTTTTGATGGAGTCTTTCACTATACGTTAGACTTGCTATGAAAACTCTGATTGGTCGAGAGCATACAGTCAATATACAATGGGCATGATAACCCAATATCTGCAGCAGATATTGGATTATCATGTCCAGTTCAAAGGCTGCCTAGATTTAGTTTCTAAGCCTCTCGTCCGTGTAGCTTTCTCACACGTTTGCGAGCTCAGAGAGAAATGCCTTCTTTTGCCGATTATTTAAAAAAAATGTATAATAAAACAATCACTGATTTCGGTTTTCGCATGATATCACGAATTATCATACCTTGTGTCTCTGTTATCTTCCTCAGCCCTCGGCTTCGGCAGATATGACAACTCAGACTTCGGCATTGGTAATTGATGATATGCCCAAACTAATTCAATACGAATTGCTCATAAAACTGCATTACATTCTGTCATTAATGTTTCACATTTTCGATTTTCTAAACACGGGCGGAGTACAGAGCTGAATAACGTATACGCATGCGTCAGGTTTTGCCGCGGAAACACGGATGTTGAGTCGTTCGCATGGTTGATTTCCTATTCTGTTGCTTCGAGGCGTCGTTTTCCTTGCCGCTTTTCTTTTACAGAACAACCTCCGCGTTGTTGACCGCATACCCGCTGACGTAGCATTTCATTATTCAGCTCTGTCCGGGCGGAATATAGTCAAAGGACTGAACACAGGTATTGATGAAGAAAAAATTTGCCGCTAAAAGAATCCGTATTATTTAATTTGTGACAGAATGGTCCGGCCCCCTTGTATCCCCAAAATGTAGAGTACTGCTACGAAAGCAATTTCGATAACGGAGCCACTTGGTAAAAACAGCACTCAGGTAGCGTAGTTCCCTGGCTGTACGCATAACGAATTCCCACTTTTCAGTTGGTAATCACAGAAGCGAAGTTTTCAAGTAATGTTATTTACTTTCTTAAACTGAGCAACAAAAATCCAAGTCAGAATACGGAGCTCTCATGTCTCAATTCAAAGAGAAAAGAGTTATTTTTTGTAACAAATCAGTGCATCACCCTTTTTACCTTACTCCGGTCCGGTGCATAGAGGCGCAGTCGACTGGATTCGCAGTCGGAGACAAATTTGGACTTCCGACTTTTCTCGAGTTAACAGGTTGAGACTTTTACAAACCGTAACCAATTATGAAAATTTTAACTCAAGGATTATTGACAAACATTTTGAAATTAATACACCATTGCAAGTAATCGTGTTTTGTTTCTTGGCAACTACAGTCGAACCTCTATTTAGCGGCACCGTAGTAAGCGGTCGGTTGTAAAAGTTCCGAATCAGTTTCTCTTTAATCAATGTACTTTTAACCCCTGTTAAGCGGTCGAGATCAACTCTTATTAAGTCCCAACGGCCTGTTTTTATTTTCTTTCACCCGTTTTGAACGGTCACTGAAAGTGGAACTACTTAAAATAAAACTAAGAATAACCTTTGAAGTAATTTTTAATCATGTTTTTCTTTCAAAATTAAAGTAAGAACTATTTTAGAACGTGATTCTGTGCAATAACTGGTCAAGTATTGCATAAAGTGTCGTTGTTTATCGTTTAACATTAAACCCCTAATCTGCGGAACCTGTAAGAAGCGGTCACTCTGTCATTCCTCATGGGTGACCGCTTAATAATACAGATTCTACGTACTTGATATTGTAAATTTATTTGTGTAGATACAGACTGGAACAAAGATCGTTTGTATTCAAAATGACCTTTGATCAATCATTACCCTTTGCACAAGTGTATGTTGAAATAAGTGAATTCTGTAAATTCAAGTAGGTGTCAAAAGATTGACAGACGTTGTGAAGAAACTCTTTTTTAGTTGAAACAAATGTTTACAAAATATTCCTCTTCTGAAAGAAAAGAAATGCAATGAAACTTGACGATGAAGCAAGAATTTGAACTAATCTAAGAATCTCCATCTGTTTGCCTTGATCTCACAGTAACCTTAATTAGTAGTAATGAAAACTTTTATTGAAAATGATTTCGTCTAACTTCCAGTAACCGATCGTCACCAGATACGAAGAAATTATTTGAGCTGATGAAAAAAAAAAAAAAGAAGATATATATATATATATCTTGGAACCCATATACCTAGTCATCATTGTAGAAAGTTCTAGATTTGATTTGCTCCACACACTTGACTCAAAATAGCAGCTTAGAAGAAGAAAAAAGAACAGGAGGGACAGTCGCAACTTGAAACATAATGAGGTATGGCGGCAGATGTAATCACGTATGGCTTGACCTTCTACTGTTTGTGGCCGCCAATTTTTGCGGCCGTCTACTTGTAGTCGTAAACTGAAGTATTTTCTCATATTTCAATATTTTAAACGCTGGAGACAAATTTAGAACTCGAAAACGCTTATAAACGTACCAAGTATTTTTCTGCCCATGTGGCCTTGTGGCGCATGGTAATATTTCAAAATTTTTGTCATTATGCTCTTTGTTGACGGTAAACAGTTTCAATCTCTGTTTACATAGGGAAGGAACAAACTGTAACCTACCACTTATTCATTTGATTGTAGTCAAAAGCGGACAAAGATGGAATCTCAGTAAAATTTGTTTTACTTACACCATCGGCTGCTAATAAGATGACATACCTTAGCGATCTATGTCTCTTTTCCGAGTTTATTTTTTTATGGAATGTTTTCAGTGATAAGTGTCAATTAAACGGTGCTAAACTGAAATGAATCGTTAGTACTTACCTTTAAGATACAAGGCTGACTGAAGCTGGCTTGTAGTTGGCTACAGGAGAAAGCCTTCAGATTCTCAGGCGCTTTATCCGCTCTTCAGCACTTGTAGTTGTTCAGTAAGTAAAAGCGAGGATAATTGGAAAAACGACGACAGAAATGGGACAGAAGTGAACAAGAGCTAAACGGAGATAAATAAATTGTCAAATTCACCACTCGGGTTTAAATTTAGGCTGTGTCTAAAGCCCGGTAGTCGGGCAGGATCATGAATGAACTAAATACTCGGCAGTCAGAAATTTTCCCAGAATTTCCCCCGAAAGGTTCTTTCAAACTTTCTTTTTACGTGTAAACAATTTTTGACATGCCGAGCATTTATAGTCCATTTAAGCCTGTGCCTGGTTGTTGGGCATTTAGAGATTGTGTTAGTTTATGCTTATCAGATTCGTAGAAAAAAAAATTGTGTCTAAGTATGCAGCGAACGAGTAGAAATGCCATTGTACCTTTTCAAAATCTGAATCTTTAGCCTCCTTCGTTCACTGCAATCGATATATTTTCTCAAAGTGAGTGCTTCGCTAACTCTTCAATCAAGAAGTCATGTACGGATTTGCCAAGAAGTTAGCGGTAATAAAAGGATCTTTGAATTTCCGGAGCTCTTCTGAAGAGCATTCAAGCGCAAAGGGTTATCAAAAAACGATTAAATTCAGGAACGTTGTCATTTGAGAAATGCGTTGACAAGATCTGATCTCTGACAGGTACATATTTTCTTGTTTCTAAACAATGATGACATTGTAATTGCTTGAATTCGCATCTTTATTACTGACTTTAACCATGCAGATGTCAAGCCTTTAACAGGGTAAGTTTCATAAATCAGCTGTTTAAATGTACAGCTAAAGTGAGTCCGAACGGTTCGGCATATCAATATGATCAATATTTCTGAAATATTCTTAGCTGATTAAGGGATTTTTTAAAGGGAAAAAAGGATTTGTTGTAAAAGGAAGACATTCCGTAGCCTCGGTCAGGTCATGCGTGATAAATTTCGTTATTCGGCGCTTCATGATATATCCATTTAATATATTTTTTATGTCTTTTTTTAAGATGTAGTTCAGGGAAAGAGCGGTTTTCCGTTTCCGGTCTTAAAAACTACAAACCTGACATTTGGGGACAACGTTCACCATGTTTACTCGCCGAAAAAAGGGAAGACGTGAAGGAATGCGACAAAAATAAAACAGGACAAGGAAAAACAAAATTAATTAATTCAAGATATGAAAGAGCTGATGAAATCTGTTGTGTAAAATAAATTTCGGGAGAGTCCCCAAATCCTAAAATCGCAAATGAAACGGTAAAACACGGCAACCGGTATTTTCTTTATGTATGTAGGGGTTTTGAAATAACATAGCTTGTACAAACGAAAAGCAGGTAGATAAGTGACTATCGTTTGAAGTCCGCCGGCTTTCATAACCAAGAGGGTTTATTAACTGCCTATCTTGTTAAAAATCCGACTTACTCATTAAAAATAACTAAAAACCAAAAACCGAATTAAAATGAATGTTGAAAAGGAAAATGGCTTGGTACGCATATCTCAATTTGAAGTGCTCTTAATCTGCACCGCAGCTCAGAGAAGGGCGTATGGTAGTAGCGACAAAGGTTCTCACCATCAGGAAAACGAAGACAACCGACAACCCCCGAAAAAAATGAAAGCCCGTTTGTGTATTTAAGTGCCCTCGGGATGAATGTGCGAACGCACATAGCCAGGCAAGTGAACAGATTTTGTCTTTTGCAGAACTGGCTTTAATTTTACTTACAATTCTCTATTTTTGGAACTCTCGCATGAAATCGAAGCGAGTGGTCAGCCAGTTAAAGATGGCGCCCAAACCTTGTACCAGGCCTGAAACTGCACAGCATTCAGAAAGAAGCGACACGAATAGAAACGTTCTTCACGAATAGAAACGTCACAGGCAGCCCAAGTTCACTTCTAGAAAAGCGGAAGTGACTCTTACCGTGTTGCGCAACGTTTTATATTTATAAAGGTTTGTATGGGATGTTATCGGTTTGCCTTAAAAGAGAGAAAAAAATGTCTTGTTTTGAAATAAAATGGGCTTACCTTATTGCCTTGTTGTTTTCTTTGTTGATTCCGAGCGTCTCAGGCCATTTTGAAGCGTTTTCGGCGAGTTAGCGCTATGTTGGTGTTCAACTGCTAAAAGAACTTTCTCAAAACAAGACATTTTTTTCTCTCTTTTAAGGCAAACCGATGACATCCCATACAAACCTTTATCAATATAAAACGTTGCGCAACACGGTAAGAGTCACTTCCGCTTTTCTAGAAGTGAGCTTGGGCTGCCTGTGCTAACGTCGAACGCATGATGAATCGACATTATTAACCTCAGTAAAAAGGCTTGTCCTATTCCGCGAAGTCTTTTATTTCACGTTAAGAAACAACGAGAAGGTGAAAATATCATGCTATCCCCAACAGATGCACTGGTAAATGACATTTGGATTTTTCCACTAGCTGTTGTTACTCTCGGTCTTCCCTGGCCCTCAGCCCGTCAGTTCTTTCAGCCGGTCACGGATGCATTGTGGGAGAATCATGTTGTTGCTAAGCAATCCTTTTGTTGCTTGAGAAGCGACCTGGTTACATAGCTTCAAGATGGCGGCAAAACATACACAGTTCTCGTGAAACATAGATCAATTACACGTACTGATTATCAGAAGAAAAAATCAACGAACATTATCTTTGATACTAGATTTAGTAGAATGGATCCTCGAATACAAGCTATTTTGGCGAAATACGAAAATGAAGAGAACGAAGAAGCAGAAAAACATGTTGACAAACCAACGACCCCTGAGCCGCCGAAAACACTTGAGCAGTGGTTGGAAAGAAGGCCGGCTGGTTCAGAACGATGGCCTGATGATGTGGATAGTGGAAAGAAGTCTGAAATATCCGTTGCTTCTGTTGGATTAGGGAGTTTGGAAGAAATAATGGAGGATTTGGGACGCCATGCCTGTATCCTTTTTGGATGGTGCGTTCCTAAAAACTGTTGTGCTGCGTCGTCGGGGGTATTACAAGATATAATTAAGTTTTATCAACTTAGTTGATTAAGTAAACTGCCCATAGTAGAGAACTTCGAAGTCTTACGCTGACGTTTCGAGCGTGAGCCCTTTCGTCAGCGCGAATGACGAAGGGCTAGCACTCGTAAATGTCAGCTACGCATTTCTCTGAATGGTCTGACATTGGCAGTTTATAATCAACCGGCTAGCTGTTGAGAACAGCGCAATTGATTATGGTTTTTATGTAATGTAGTGATATGTAATGTTTGAAATAGTCAGGGACTTCAGCTTCTTTTACCTCACCAATGAAGTTACTGGCTACAGTAAATGTGAATGGAACTTCATTGTTGAAATCAAAGAATCAATCAAAGACAGAAAGGTACATTTCTTATCTGCAAAAAACAGATTTTCCTGGGACTAGGAAATTCCAACAACTGTACATCTGTGCTACAAGTCAATGGTCCTAATGTTTTTTAAATAAAAATCATGGAAAATTTTCTTAACTTGAATATTTTTAATAAGTTTTGGACATTAGTTTGATTGATAAGGTAAGCAATGAAGTTGAAGAATTAGAAAAAAAGCTTGCTATTTATGCAAGTCAGGTTTTGACAGACAAGGAGAGACCCAGGAGTAAAGCCGAGACAATGAGCCCAGCAACAATGAAAGGTAAATAAACACATAATTACTGATGGATATAGGTTAATCCCAAGAGAGGCCAACAAGAATTGCTGTATATATTCAGTGCATGAAGTATGTGTAGATGGTTTGGTTTATAGTACAGTATTTAACCTTTTGATCCCTAACAGTGACTAGTAACTATTTTCCCCTAACAATATCACCTCTGAATCATACATAATGGTCACAAAAATTAAGGAAATAAAAGAAGAATAAAGGTCTTGATTTAATTCAAATTCATTTATTTATATCACTTCACTGATTTATATCACTTTGACGGTTTTAATATGAACCAACATAATTATCAGCTCCCAGTTGGCTTGGAAGCTCAGTTGGCAGAGCACTGTACTGCACCAGTATCACAGAGGTCATGGGTTCAAATCCTTTATGGGCCTGAATTTTTGTCAGGCCCTGTTTCCACTGCTAAATGAGTAGGGTTTATTAAGGTCTTGATTGTTCAGAAATTCTCCTTGTCAGCACCCTAGGAAATGTGTGGAAAAAACTAGGGAGATTATGCATATTGATGTTTAGTGTAAAGGGTTAGCTGGTATACAATATTAACCCTTGAACTCCCAGAAGTGATTAAGCTGTAACTTCTCCCTATAATATCCATACTTTATCCAGCAAACAGGTGACGAGAATACTCAAACTTATCAGGTAGAAGTTGTTACCTTGATTGAACACCAAATCCTCATAACCAATTTACAGGGAAATTCATAGCAGCTAAAGAGGATAATTCATAATCAGATCTCAGGAGTCAAAGGTTTATTTTTTTTTATAACTATAAATGTGGCAAAAAGCCTTTTGTAGGGAACTCCCTTATATTGTACTATAACATTATGTATGTATATGTGGGCAATCCATATAATTCATGTATGTGTAATCATTTCATTGAGCGGAGAAAGAGAGTTGATTATTTATACAATAATGTAGTTGTTAGTCTGAAATCAAATATTCTTTATGCTTTTATCTTGCGTAGCATTACAAACAAGCGCAGATATTCCTGCAGAAGTTATTAACAAAAAGGAAAAGGTTGTACCTATGGTAAGAGATTAATAAATTACTTTTTCTTTAAATTACCAGAGTTTTTAAGTATAATATCATAGGTGACAAAGTACTCCTTAATTTTGGCGCGAAATTTCAGCTTTAATTTTTAATTTCACATGTGAAATTACAAAATTGCCATGGTAACATCTCTTGTATCTCGATCAGAGCCAAGATGGTGTCGAGATTTAAGACTGCGACCCTTGAAGAAGTTACGAAATTAAAAGAAGCGGCCGAAAATTATTAACAGGCACAAAGAACTCGAAAGGTATTTTTTGTGAAGAAACTCAGAAAATTACGAACTTTAACAATAATATATGCTTTAAACGAAAACTATATTCTTCTTCATGTTCTCGGTTTTCGATAGAATAAACCAGTAAAAACAATTACAGTTGTGAATGTAATTTATCACCCACGATATTAAAAGGTAATCAAATGGTTTTCTCACGAAATTAGGAAATAATTT